ACGGTGCCTGGCACACTTAGCAATAAAATTTGGCTATAATAACTGTATTTGAAATTGGGCCAAGTGAATGCTTCTAGAGGGCAGAACCAATAATAGAAAGGACTGTACCATTCTCTTGATAAGATTCAAAAGGCCTGCTGTATGCCTCACTTTTTTAAAGAAAAACATTTTAAATTATGAGAATAAACAGTTACCTCAAGGAGTTCATAACGTAATTGGAAAAATGAGACTTGAAAGATTAGGAGAAAAGTTACTGTGAAGAGAAAACATTGTTCAGGTAACTGTTTATATTTAGGTCAGTTGCAATAGATTTTAGAGATGCTACCAAGGTAGTAAAATAAATGCCATTGTCCAGGCTGAACTTTTTTCCTTATTCAACCTTCATTCCTGGCACCCGTTATTCACTGTCATTGTTTATTGCAGGTGATGAAGTTAATACCTTAGTGGAGCAATCGTTGCTTTGGTAGTGGAATAAAAGTAATCCCATGGGCCGGCCCCGTGGCCAAGTGGTTAAGTTCGCATGCTCCACTTCGGAGGCCCAGGGTTTCGCTGGTTCGAATCCTGGACGTGGACATGGCACCGCTCATCAAGCCATGCTGATCCCACGTGCCACAACTAGAAGGACCCACAACTAAAAATGCACAACTATGTACTGGGGGGCTTTGGGGAGAAAAAGGGGAAAAAAAAAAAAGTAATCCCGGATTTGAAAATCCTAAGCTGTATTCCTGCCTGTCCTGGATTGATCAGTTCAGTTGCGCTTGGAAAGAAATTTCAGCGGGACTTTGCCTGTTAATATTTGCTGGGATTTATCGAGGTCATAGTTCTTGTGCCCATGGTAGATGTTAGTTTGCAAATTCAATTGCAATTTACCCCACTGGTTGAAATCATTCTCAGATCTGGCTCTTTAAAAATCAGCTCTAAGCAAATAAATAGGACAGATTACTGACTTTTATCAACTATTGCGTTTCCAAGCCGTTCGTCACTAAATTTGTCTTTTGTTTTAAAATTTTCTAATGTTGGTGAATAGGGAGGAGAAAAAGTACCTTACTCTTGGATTACATTTAACATGTTCTTCTGAATAGCTGGGACTCTTTACCATGTGAGCAGAAACCTGGAAAGATTCTTCCTTCCTCCCTCCCTTCCTCAGAAAATTTTAAATGAGGTTTTTCCCTTAAAAGATTCTCTCCAGGTGTGTGCCAAAATTCGTTTATTATTGAAACTTGATTTAATACTTTAATTTCTTCTTTTAGCTTTTTGTCATTTTACCTACTATATTTTGAGTAAAAAAAAAAACAGCTCTTTTTTTGGTTTGGAAAACGTCTAAACTGATTCAGTTAAATCTTTTTAAACAGATATTCTCTGAATTGGAATAAATAAACCTTAGGTGGGACAGACTTCTTAGCATGCAGGATGAAGTGATGAAATCGTCATGGAAATGTATGTGTTTTCTCCACTTTGTGTAACTGGTGGTGAGTGAGTGCAGACACTGGGCTAAAGGGTCAGAGCATCCTTATTTCTGTAAAAAATTGTGATCAGTGAGTTTCTTTAAGTTGCCAAGGGTCCTCCCTTACAAATCCTAGTTCTGTTTATAGAATTAAAGTGATCACTTTCACTCTCTGGGAGCTCATTGGTCTTTTAGCTTTTCTAGTATCTCCCAGGTTCAAAGGGATAAGCTTGAGGCTACAGGGAGTTACTTATAGCCTGGTTCCTGTAGGGAATAGGTGCCCATGCTTTGGATGGGGGGGTGTGCTGGGCTGTCAGTCACTTTCCTTTTTTACAGTCTCTTGGTTTTTTGTCAGTATGTGAGGACTCTGGCTGCTGCGTGGCTCCATTGTTCCCCTTCAGAATTGCCCTCCTGTCCCCAATTTCTAGGCTGGGAAGTTGTTGGACAGGTGACCATTGGGCAGCAAAATATGCTTCACTTGCTATTTGTTACCTTTAGATAGAATGAAAGATATCTTAATCTTAACTGGGTTATCCGGGAACGGTGTGCCTGCCTGACCTGTTGCTGAATAACAGGAGAACAGAGCAAGTCTTTGGGGCTCTGTCATAGAAGCGGCTTATTTAATAATGGGTTACCCTCTACTAATGCACTGTCACAGGGTGGGGAGGAGGGTTTTTGGTGTATACAGGCTTCTGGCTGGGGTAGTTTTTTTCCCTGTTACCACTCCCACAGATTTGTCACTTCTTTCCAGTAGTGGATAACAACTCTTGAATTTTCTTAGATTGGCTATACTGGTAGCATTGGCTGAATTTGTAGATAGGATAGCCAGCTTTTATTTTTCTTTTTACTTTTTAACATAATTTCAGACTTGTAGAAAAGTTACAAGGATTCCCTTATGTATCTTTCACCCACATTTCTCAAATGTTAACATTTGCTTTATCCTTTTCTCTTTTATGTATATATACACACACACACGCACACAGAGTTGTCCCTCAGTATCTGAGGGGGTGGGGGTCGGGGGGGATTGGTTCCAGCACCTCCTGCAGATACCAAAATCCTCAGATGCTCAAGTCCTTTACTTGGCCCTCCAGCGGGTTCCACATTTGCGGATTCAGCCAATTGCGGATTGTAAACGTAGTACTATGTAATCCACTGTTATTGGATCCTCAGATGCAGAACCCGCAGATACAGAGGGCCGGCTGTGTGCGTGTGTAGAGTCATGCATCATATAACAGCATTTCTTTCAACGATGGACGCATACATGACATTGGTCCCATAATATTAGTACCGTATAGCCTAGGAGTGTACTAGGCCATATCATCTAGGTTTGTGTAAGTACATTGTGATTTCACACAACAAAATCACCTAACAATGCATTTCTCAGAACATAGTCACTGTCGTTAAGTGACATGTGACTATATGTACATCTATATAATTATATTTATTTTACGTTTCTGAAGTGTTTGAGAGTAAATTGCAGTCATCCCTACTGTAGTGTGTATTTCCCCAAAAAAAGGACTACATAACCTCACAGTGCCGTGATCAAAAATCTGAAATTAACATTGATACACTGCTATTAGGGAATTACAGCCCCCATTCTCATTTGCCGGTTGCCCTTATAATGTTCTTTGTAGCAAAAGAAAATCCCAGGTCATGGGTTACATTCAGTCTTCATACCCTTTTAATCTGGAACAGTTGTTCAGTCTGTGTGTTTCGTGATAGTGACATTTTTGAAGATTACAGGCTACTTGTTTTGTAGTCTGTCCTGCTGAACCAGCTGTTTGGTTTTTTTTTTAAAGATTTTATTTTATTTTTTTCCTTTTTCTCCCCAAAGCCCCCCGGTACATAGTTGTATATTTTTAGTTGTGGCATGTGGCATGCTGCCTCAGCGTGGTTGATGAGCAGTGCCATGTCCTCGCCCAGGATTCGAACCGACGAAACACTGGGCCGTCTGCAGCGGAGCGTGCGAACTTAACCACTCGGCCACGGGGCCAGCCCCGTGAACCAGCTGTTTTTTGATCAAGTTGTACTTCATGTTTGAGTGCATCATCTTCCCAAGGCATTGAGCTCCCTAATTATGGAAAGGGGAATAAGGAGTAAGATTCCTAAGTGGAGATGGGGAAGAGACACAGTAGGCAGATCTGCTCTACTAGGCACCCTGACACAGTGGAGTGGCGTGATTGTGGCAGCTGGCTTGGAGGAGCGCAGCTGGAGTCCAGTCTCTTGACTGTGCACCCTGTTACAGGTGATGCAGGAGCTCTGTGTTTCGTAATCTTCTCCCTCTCTGTTTTGTTGTATGTTCAAAGCTGTAGCTTAGTGACCAACAAAGGACGAAGGTTTCTCTGGCTTATGGCTGTGTTATATCTCCCTCCTTCCACCACCACATACACTCCGGCTTTTTGAGTCTTGTTTCATGGCAAATCCACTGGACTCTGCCTGTACTATTATAAAGTGTCTCAGTGATGGAATACTTCTTTTCCTTAGTTACGTTTCTCCCATAGCCACACTTGGGAAATGAAAGCACAGTGCCCGAGAGAGGCCTGCAGAGTCAAGCTGTCTAGATTTGAATCCTGCCCCAGCTCTTTACTATTAGCTGTGTGACCTGGGCAAATAGCTCAACTTGGCTGAGTCCACTACGTAAGAATTTTGTAAGGATGAAATATGATTTGCTACTAACTAGAAACTTGAAAATAATAAAGCTAACATTTATTGAGTGCTTACTATGTGCCAGTCACTGTTCTAAGTACTTAATGAAACAGAACCGATTGGGCAATGCCTGATTTTCCAGAATGACTTTTGTTCTTCAAAGGCTTTCACCCATTTAAGACAAGAAATAGCATGTGTAATGCTAATGTTTCTGATGAATGTCTAATTTTCCTCGCCAGCAGGTTGAAAGGCTAGCAGGTGGCAGAGGTTTCAGTCCCTGCTGCATTGGAGATCAGTTTTCTCCTTTGCTGACCCATCATCTCTTGCTCTAGGAATGGGATCTATTGGGGACTTTTACTGGCTCTGTGCTGATTTCAGATTCTAAATCTTAAGGAAATGGGAGTGGTGACAGGAAATGGGAGCCAGCAGCTGGGAAACAAGTTTGTAACTTGATGTCGGTGAACTGGTCTTCACTTCTGGAAGACAAAATTACATGAACTCGTGGGAAGAGCAGGTGTCGCACCATTTTGTTTCAGTTTTTCCATTTGTGAGTGTGTGATGTACAGCTGTTCAGAGCTATAACATTTTCCATTTGGCAGTTATCTAGTAAGCATTTTATTTTTAAAGTATGACATGGGTGTTCAGAATTTTTAAGTGCCTTAAATGTAACTACTTAAAGATCTGACACATAAGCTATATGAGCCTGTAAATTATTTATCTTAATCTTAAAAGTTCTTATTCAAAGGCCCATTTTATCTCAACTTTTTTCTCTTGTAATTTAGACATGCTCTTTAACATAACGCTGTGCGAAAGATAGTGCAGTATCTATTTGATTAGCTAACATTGTTTTAAAGTTTTATTTATTAACTTCAAAAGGAGTCTCACTTCTGATTACTCTTGTGTATTTAAGCCAGTGAAGAAAAAGAAGATAAAACGAGAGGTTAAGATTCTGGAGAACCTTCGTGGTGGAACGAATATCATTAAGCTGATTGACACTGTGAAGGACCCTGTGGTAGGTGCCTCCTGGGGGGCGGTGGGGAGAGTGTGTGTGTGAGAGAGAGCGAGAGACATACACACAGAATCTAATAATAGTGAGAAACATTATATAGAGGGAATGACTGATTGTCTTCACTACCGAATGGTTTTGAAAACCTGAAAAAATTATGGTGGCCCAATGATAAAATAGCCACTGCTACTTTTCTGGAACCTAAAAGTGTATGTAGAAAAATCCCTGTCTCAGGTTTATCACCTCCTAATTTTGATTCAGCCCACAAACGTTTGCTGAATATCTCCGTTAAGCCCCTGCTTTTCTCCCAGTTTTGAAAGCTCATTACTGCCAGTTAAGCATTCTTTTACCTCAGTTAACTAAGACTGACATTTGAAAATCTGGATTTACAGAAGGAAATATTGACTGTCTCTATGTGGACACCTGACATTGAGCACTGGCAGGTCACAGCCCCACAGACCCCGTGGGGAGGCAGTCTTGCTGTTTCTTGTACTAGTCTTTACTCAGCATCCATCATTAGGGCTCACATTGTAGGTGCAGATACAACTGAAATATTTTTTGTTAAAAATACTTGATTTTTAGCCATTTTAGATGTACTGTTTAATTCTGTTTTCTCTCCCTGGGGAGTAACTTAACCTCAAGTGTTTATTATTAGCTAAGGTTTTTTTGTACCACTTCCCATCCCATTTCTGTTCTTCGCCTTTCTACTTCAAATATTTCACTGTTCTCTCATGAAAGCTTTTTGTTTAAGAAGTAGATCTTTGCTTCTGTCTGCTAAAGACATCCTCATAATAATGTAGTGGCTACGTTATTATGTGTTGAATGCTTACTGTGTGCCAGGCACTGTTGTGAGTGTTTAACTGTATTACATCATTTAATCCTCCCAACAGTCCAGTGCGGTAGGTACTGTTATTATCCACATTGTCCAGATAAGAAAACTGAAGTCTACGGAGGTTAAATAAGTCGCCCAAGATCACACAGTATTGTTGAACTGAAGAATAAGGAAAGTTTTTCCTTTTGGACCCTGGAAAGACTGAGAAGGAGGATTCTGTGCTAGATTCTATCTAATTGGCATTAAAAATATATCCCAGCCTGATGAGCTCAGATTGATTTTACAGTGACTAACGCTGGACTACGTAACCTTTGAAAGTGGCTTATAGTGTGAGCTAGTAGTAGTATAGTATTATACGAGGAGCATCATTTTGCCTTTTTTTTTTTTTAACAACTTAGCGATACCCATCTTACTGTTTTTGTAGTTGTTACTTAAAACATATGTGTGTTTTACATGATTTGTAACACAGGTAAATCGAAGTGGACATAAACCAACAGAAATCCCTCATCCCGTGACTTATAGGGGAACAGGCCTGCTCCCAGCATGTAGAGAGATCTGGTCTTGATAAAACTCTCAGTCTTGGGCGAGTGAGAAGTCCTTTGACCAGGACTGCTGCTCGTTTTGGTAGAGACCTGCATGCATGCATTGTGGCCTGTTTCCTAGGTAGCTTTCACCTGCTTCCTTGAGCAAAACTTCCCAGCCATAAAAATTTCCAAAATGAAAAAAATAAATAAAAATAAATCTTTTTGCTTCTGCAACCCTTTAAGCTCCTGTTTTTCTCCCAATTTTGGAAATGTATTACTGCCAATTAGTGTTATTTTACCTTACTTAAGTAAACCTGACATATGAAAATCTGTATTTACACAAGGAAATATTGAACATTTTGTACTCATTGCATTAAAGATTATAGTCTTTAAAGATACTTGATTACATATTTTTGGGGAACATGTCTACTTTGTGAAGCAAGATACTCTCTAATGGTTTCTAGCCAAGGCAATAATTTCACATTACAGCTTACTGATAATCATAGGTTATTTTCCTTTTGGATCCTGAAGGACCTATGATAGATACCCAAGACCTGTGATGTTCTGTAAAATGCATCTGGCTCATTAAACCAAGATGAAAACATGCCACTCTTTTAGTAGTTGGCAACTGGAACACTGCAGAGTATAAATCTTCACAGAATGTGCCAGGCCCACTGACAGGTTGGTTAGAGAATACATCTCTTTTTGTAAGGGAAGAAAACACTTTATTATGAAAAATGTCAACCATTACAAAAGTAAAGTGAATAGTATAATGAACCTCCCTGTACACATCACCCACCTTTAGCAGTTAATCAGCTTGTGGCCAGCTTTGTTTCATCTATACCCTACCCACTTCCCTGAAAATTCCAGACATAAAATTTTAAGAGGATACTTTCTTAATAGGCTCTCCCTGATGAGTGAATCTCTTTTTCATCTAAGTGAGATTTGGGGGTGGGCCAGTATGACAGAAGTCAGTTACATTTATTGTTTGAATACTTATAAAGCATTAATATTCTCTCTTGCAGTCGAAGACACCAGCTTTGGTATTTGAATATATCAATAATACAGATTTTAAGGTGCGTATATACTTTTTCTTTATGGCATGGGGTCAGAGGGGTATGAGGAGGTGGTGATAAGTACTGTTGATACTCTGGAACACAAGGGGCCAGGAGGGGCCATTGGCGAGAGTAGGACATAAATTGGATTCCTGGTAGCATGTGTACAGGGCGCAGAAAGTGGTCAGGGTTCTTGCTTTTGGTGAAATTACTCATTACCCTTTGCCTTGCTTACTCTGGGAATACTTGCTGGGCTGGGTCTAAGGTAATGCCTCATGGGTCTAAGGTAATGCCTCATCTATAACACTCCTCCATTAGACCACATAATTTTAGATAGATGTTAACTTTGATTTTTGTAGAAATCTTACTTTGCTGACAGAAAGTGATAAAACAGATACAGGGCTCCTGTGAGAAGAAGCAGTACATTGGACTCAAGCTGTCAGATAGTGTGTGTGTTTATGCACCCTGTATACAAAGCAAATGACATGGAAAAGCTAGTTAAGAATCACTGTACTTTAGAAAAGCCCTGTCCTGGGTTATTTACACTTCTTGTATTTATAATGCACATTAATTTAGTCTTTGAAGCGTTCTTCTAAAAGCAAGGTTTTGAGCTAGTTTTTCATGAGTTTGTTTTTATTGTTCGAATACTGCAACCTTAACTGCTGGTAGGGTTTCGGGGCCAGGCATATTGGACATGGTAGAGTGTTATATGAAAACCAATATAAAAACAAAACCGTGGTGTTGATTTTTAGGGGCATTTATAGAACTGTTAGGTGATTATAAGTCTGTCAGTGACTAAAAGGTTTGTGATTTTGTTGTGAGGGAAGATAGGGGCAAAAACAAATAAGCATTTGAAAGATGCTGGCATCAGGAGTGATGCTTTTGGGTGAAAAGAAAAGAAGCTTGTCTTCACGTTTAATTTTTCTTAATCACTCTAAAACGACTCTAAAATAAGGTTAGTGAAAAACAGACAAAAGAGAATATTATGACTTACAAAACAGTAAGCAAGTTTTATATACAGTTTAGCTTTTCCCATATGTAACAAGTTTCCTTGTTAGTGTGAAATCAGTAGTGAACTCTAAAAATTGGGGTGGGTTTTTCATTAGCAAGCATGGCAGTGCTCAGCCGGTGGCGTGCTGTGCTGATAGACAGAGCTGATCGCACTTTGGCTGTGAATCCCCCAGGTTTATCAGGTGTATATGGGTGGGAATGTGTACGGTTCTTAGAGAAATAGGCTTTAACGAAACCAAACATTTTCCCAATGCAAAAGTTTAAAAGCCAGTTTTAATGGGACTTCATAGTGAAATCCCTACGCTTTCAGTGCCTCAGCTTGCTTAATGTGTTTTTACTGATTGTCTAGCCACACCTGTGGAATTTCACCCCAGCATTTTGTGTTTTTAAATTGATGGCCGCTCTGTTGATTTAACAACATGCAGGAGATCAGTTTTTAATTCCCAAGAGAGATCTTACTTCTTATTCTTAGAAGGGCATGTTTTGATGGCATACATTCTCTAGGAGCTTCCTTTAAAGGGATCATGGGAAATTAATGTTTTTTTGAGGCTTGCATATCTGAAAACATCTTTATTTTATCCTCCTGATTGATGTGTTTGTTAGGTATAGAATTCTAGGTTGTAATAATACTAATTTCCTCAGAATTTTGAAGAGATTGTTCCGCTGTTACCAGCATAGCCACTCTGGTTTCATCTTAGGTCATCTGGTTTTGTTTTTGTTTTTTCCTCTGAAAGCTTTTAGGATTTCTCTTCATTCTCAGTCTCTGAAATTTCGCAGTGATGTGCCTTCCTATGGGTCGTGTTCATCTTTTGTTCTGGATACTCACTGGGCTTTTTCAGGCTAGATGCTCATGTCCTTCCATTTCGGAAGAATATTTTTAACATTCTCTGATTTTCTTCCCTTTCTTCTTCGTTTTCACTTTCTAGAACTCATTCCAATGTTGGACTTCATGTCTTAGAGCTCTATTTTCTTCTCTGAACTTTTTAAAATAGTATCCTGTTCTTTCATGTTTTATGTAATATCTTCTATTTTCTCACTGAGAATATGGTTTTTTCCCCATTATGATTTCTTCTTCATGCCTTTTCTCTGTTTTTCTTCCAAAGTCCTTTTTTTGTGTGTTTTGTCTCTGTTACAGTTGTCTGAAATGTCATGGTTTTTGAATGCTCGTATTTTAGAGTAATGAAATACTCATTACTGATTGTCAGCTCCTGTCTCGAGGATACCAGCCTGACTGCGGGCATCTTAGTAGCTTCAAATTCAGGACAGCTATGGCTAGTGTCACGTAGACTTTCACTTAATTCCCCTGTTCTCAATGTGGTGGTTTTAACTCATTTTCCTGTCTTCAGCTCAGTCTCTTTATCCTTTCAGTGATACCTGGGGTTACCAATTCCTGAGCCTTTCTGTAATTCTTCAGTTGGAAGTCGTTTGCTTCTGGACCCCCTCTACTGTTGGCAGAATCTTCAGCTTTTTTGCTCTGCTAAGTCAGCTGGACATCTGTTTTCTAGCTTCAAAATGTTGTCTTCCATTCTCTTAGTTCTTGTGAGCTAATCTCTCCTCCTTTTACTCTATCTTAGAGGCGCTTCGGGAAGAAGCAGGGGTAGGATGTGTTTGATCTGCTGTATTGAACTGGAGATCCCCTTTGAATGTTCAGGCCATGCCATTTCAGCCAACTTAAAAGATCGTTAAACGTCAGGTAGCAGGTGTATTTTGTGGACGAGCCGATCATGACAGGAAAATCTTTTTTTTTTTTTCCAGATAGTATGACGGACCACAAATAGCGTAATCAGTTGGTTTAATGTCCTAGTGTTCTTCAGGTTTTTTATTTTGTACTGTGTCTGTCTTATTAGAGAAATTTGTCTTTGTTTTCATTTTACTATTAAGAGTATTACTAACTAGTTTTAAGGTGTCACCCAGAGAAGGTTTGTCCCTGGTTTAATATCGGGGTGAATCAACAATGATACAGCCTGCAGCCCGTTCTTTTCGGTATTTTTTTATTGATGCAATTGATAATAAATTTTGATCTATACTTTCCTTTTATTGTGGAATCCTTCTAATTTTGGTGCCAAGGTTATACTCCCTCTAGAATAAGTTGGGTAGCTTTTCCTTTCTGCTCTCTGAAAGCTCGGGCACAGTAGGGTCGTCTCGGTGGGCGTCTGGGGCAGGGGAGACTTGGGCTCCACTTGGCTTTTTAAAACACGCTGTGGGTGGAAGGTTCACCCGATTTTCTAGAGTCTCTTGGCATGACAGCTCTTTCTAAGGTTGGCCACTTGCAATTTTATTTGCATAAAGTTGTTAATAGAATTCTCTTAGTACTTAAAAACTTTCATCCGTCGGTAATTTTCTTTTCCTTTACATTTGTGGCATTATTTGTGCCTTTACTTCCTTTTCTCTTTGTTTAAAAAATCAGAGTTAAGACATCTCATTAATAATTTCAAAGAACTAGCATTTGGTTTTATTGCTCAGATGTTGTTTTTGTTAGTTTTTCTGTTTCATTCTGTTTCTGCTTCTATCTTATTTTCTTTCTTCCTTCCTTAATTTGTTTCCTTGAGTTTTCACGGTTGTTCCCCCTAGCTTCTTGAGTTGAAGTCAACTCGTTTGATCTGTTTCTGTCTTTCTTGATTGGCAGTAAGTTGCTTTAAGTCTGCACAACCCCAAATAGCATTTTACTACATTCCATGGTTGTGGAACTCACTTCTATGTGGTTTTCAAATTAGAAGTACAGGTTCCTAACTTGTGGATTTGGGTTTTTTCCCACAGACTTTTTACTATGAAAAATTTTAAACCTACTGGCAGTTGGAAAGAGCGGCACAATCCGTACCCTTAGGTTGGTCACCTGGGTTTGTCAGGTGTTAATATTGCCACGTTTGCAGTTATTTCCCTCCCTCCTCCACCCTCCCCTTTTAATCTTTGTCTTTTTGCTGAAATTGTCTTAAAGTAAGCTGCAGGCATCATGATACTTCACTCCTAAATGTGCTAGCACTGAAACTAGGTAAGACGTTTTCCCATGTAACCACAGTGCTGTTAGTACACTTAAGAAATTTAGTATTTGTATAGTAATGCCATCTAATTGACCATACAGAGTCTGTGTTCAAAAGTTTCCCAGTAATTAAAAAATTATACTTTTTTTGTTGATTCCCAATTTGATTGCACTGTGTCCAGGGAACATGATTTGTATAATGTTGATTATCTGAAATTTGTTGATGGTTGCTTTATGACTCTAGTACCTGGTCATTTTTTATATCAAGCTTGGTAATTTGGTTCAGATCTTCTATGACCTTACTCATTTTTTTCCCTTGATATTTCATTTTATGGTAGAGATACTGGTTTGGTCAATTTCTCCTTGAAATTATCAGTTACGCTTCATATATGTCAAAGCAATAATAAAAGATACGCGGTGATACTGAGAACAAAAGGCAAAACTTCCAAAGAAATGAATAGGAAAATCTAGTCTTTAGAAGTTGGAACAAAGCAGTAGTTACAGAAAACCTCCAAACTCAAAAATTGTCTCAAGGAAGCTAAGGGACCATTTTGAGGTAGAAAAAGTTTCTGTTGAGACACGCTTCTCAGTGTTCTATGGCTTTGGAAGTGTCTAGATAAAAATGAATATGCATTTTAAGTAAAAATATATCATTTAGGCTTTTTTTTTTTTTTTTGAGGAAGATTAGCCCTGAGCTAACATCTCCTGCCAATCCTCCTTTTGCTTAGGAAGACTGGCCCTGAGCTAACATCTGTGCCCATCTTCCTCGGTTTTATGTGGGATGCCTGCCACAGCATAGCTTGACAAGCGGTGCATAGGTCCATGCCCGGGATCCCAACCAGTGAACCCTGGGCTGCCGAAGCAGAATGTGCAAACTTATCCGATGCACCACCAGGCTGGCCCCTGGGCATTTTAAGATTGATAAGACGTCTCAAATGGGCTCCATATTGAGAAGGTGGTAGTCCCGTATTGACCTGTGGAGAGTTTCTAAACCACTCACATAGAAATGGGCCTTGACCAGCGGGTATCTTGAGGGCTTGTTAATGCCATTAGGGTTTGATGTGGAGGGGATGAGTTCACAGACTAAATCAATAATGTTTCCTTAATTGGGGAAACAAGGTTTACTTTTTTTTTTTTTGAGGAAGATTAGCCCTGAGCTAACTACTGCAAATCTTCCTCCTTTTGCTGAGGAAGACTGGCCCTGAGCTAACACCCGTGCTCATCTTCCTGTATTTTATACGTGGGACACTACCACAGCATGGCTTGCGAAGCGGTGCTCTGTCCGCACCTGGGATCTGAACTGGCAAACCCTGGGCCGCCAAAGCGGAACATGCGAACTTAACCGCTGTGCCACCAGGCTGGCCCCCAAAGTTTACTTTTATCATAGGTCATTGACATTATTTTGCCATTTCTTTATAAGACGTTTTCAGGTGATTAGTAGTAACTTTAATTTATTTGCTTAATTAATGATTTGTTTTGCTTCCTTAAATTTCTATAAACGTTGACTTTGATTTTATTCTGGATCTTAGGGTTGTGTGTTAATGCCAAAAGTTGTGACTACTACATTGAACACCATTTACTTTCACTTTAAATCCCCCTGGCCCCCACTTTTTCTTCTCCCTACATGGGGACCACTGGGATTTCTGGACGTAGACTGCACTGTGTGTGTTGAGGAGCATGCAAGCTGTCTGTGCAGGGTGGGAGTATGCTGTGTTGGGGACTGCCACATCTGGCTGGGAACCTTCTTGAAGTGTGCAGTCCTCCGAAGTGACAGTCGTTGGGGATGAGGCCTTGTCTGTAGCTGATCGTGATGCAGTTGAACTGCAGCTGGAGTCTGAAGACCTGTCTGTGAACAGCAGGAGCGAGGTCCACTTTTGGCCGTTGCTTTCAGACCAAGGAGGCCCTGAGTCTCCTGACCAAATTGCATTTTTCCCGTTCTCTTGCTCAGCTTTCTGCGGTTTTTAAAAGTCCCAGGAAATTTCCGCCTCGGGCTCTTTGAGTAGTCTTGGAGTAGAACTGATTTCCAGGGAAGTGGCAGCATGTTGAGGCTTTCTAACCAAACCTGGATTGAGGAATAGTTTCTTCCTCAGCACCTCTGTAGGCGGCACGGGCGTGTTTTGTTTTTGATAAGTCACTTACTTTATTAAAGTGTAAGCAGAGCTAACTTCCAGCCAACATTTTGCACTTGGTTGGTTGATGATGTCCTCCACATGGCTGGCCAAGAAGAATGGAGTAAAAGCGTGGCTCTCATGAAGTTTCCCTTTCTGATTTGTCGTGGACTCTTAGCACTTCTGTTTCTCAGAAGACACTTTTGCTTTTGTTCCATTGACTGGTGAACAACGTCGAAGGCGAATGTTTATTGCCTGCCTTCTGTGTGCGGGCAGAGAACCGCCTTTTGTGGGGTGGGGCATGGGAAGCAGAGGCTGTTCTGTCTGAGGACTCAGCACGCGGACCGAGTTGTACGGTGGACCTGTGACATTTGAGGGAGGAAAAATTCAGACATCTTGAATGGCCAGATTGGTGACTGCCACCAGCCACAGCACCCATTTGTCCCCATCATGTGTATGCCACAATACGCAGGGACGCTGGCATGGCACTCTTAGGGTATGGGCAAAGTGAAGCAGCCTCTTGTTCACAACAGAGTGAGAAATTATCTTGGGAACTTCAGGTCTCTACGAGTACCTGAATGAGAAATGTTAATTCTGGGGACACTGCTGCTGTCAGTGTCTTATGAACACCCCAGAGGACAGTAAACGGCATGGGGGTTCAGAGAAAGAAGACCACTCTCAGCTCTGTGGAGCCCAGATGGGGCGGGTTTGACTTTATGGGCTAAGGATGAGGGGCGGAATATTCCAGATTTTGGGAGAGGGAAGAATGGAGGTGGCAAATAGAGGTTTGTTTGGTCAGAGTGCGGTGCTCCTGGGGGCTACAGCGGACCCTGGTGAATCCTGAATTTTAGGCCCAGGTGGTAAAATGTTATGGGTGTAGTTTGGTCTCCTCCTACCCAGAGCGCCTGAGAACTGAGAGTGAACGTCAGCCTGTCGTGCGGGAGTTTATAACGTGTTGGGCCTAAACGTTATATTCAGCCAGGGTCTTCTGTGTTACATAAAACTGAGGTTGGTTGGAGTAGCTAGGAATACTGTTGGCAGTCCAAGGACATTTATTTTTGTGTCTTACACCGTTTACACGGGTGCTTGGTAAAGATAGCACATGACATGAGAGGGAGGCCTTCCATAGATAGAAGTTCAAATAGTACAATAGCCCTTATTTGTTTTCTGGAAATAGAAAATTTCAGCCCTTTGAGGGTTAGAAAATGCTCTTGTCACTTTCATGACCTCTCTGTTGACTTTGAGCTTCAGCCTGGCACACCATGGGAGAGATCTCTTTAACTCTCAAAGGAGGAGCTGATTTGACACCCAGAGAGATGATGGCATCTTTGGCCTGTGTGCGTACATACAGGTTGTCAGTGTGCTGGCTGAGAAGCCTGCCTTGCTGTGCAGAGCCCAGGGGAGAACAAAAAACTTGGATGTTTGGCTGTTATACAGTTGAATTTCTCCTGAGCGGAAGTGGTGGTGTGGGTGCATCTGAGTGGGGTCAGTCCCAGCCAGGGTCAGCCTCCCGTGGTGGAGCAGCTCCAAGGCACCCCAGGTGTACTGGACTGTGTGGTCTCATTCCCTGAAGTATACTAGCTAGCTGCTGCCTGCAGTTGGTGCAATCAGATATTCCTACTAAGCTGGAGGGAGAATTGCTCTTACTTAAAAGGGGAAATTTGGGAAAGAAGCTGTCTTGGTGTTCTTAGAAAATGTTAAATTTGATTCTTGGCAAATTTGTTGTTTTCCTTAAAAAAATTTTTTTGAGCAGGTAGTGTATTTACACAAATCTAAAACATAAAATGGTATGCAGTGAAAGTCTCCTTTATTCCCCTTGCCCCAGCTGTCCATCTCCCATACACATATGCATGAAGCCACTTCTTATTCGTCTCTTTTCTGTCATTCTTGCAGATGTAAACAAATGTGCATGCGTAGTTTTACTTCCTTGCCCCTTTTACACAGACACATCATATACGCCGTTCCGTGCTCCTTGGAGAGATTCTGTACATTGCTTGAGTCTTTCAATAAAGGGAGAGGCAGAATATGTTGAATAAAGGTGTGCTCATTAACTCTACGGAGAGTGCTGCTGTGACTGATGAGGCTAGAGATTTACTTAGAATTGATTATCAAAAATAATAGTATAGTTTCTGACAAGGGTCGTGATGATTTTTAATGAAGCCAGATGCGTAAATGCTACTCTGCCTCTTAGAAATTGAAGTTTTTTAAAAACTCCCAGTGGCTAGGTCTTTGGATCATCAATAATGAAAACTTTTGTATATGTGTCACTTTGGCCTGGAACCATTTTCAGTACCTATATCTTTTTCTTTTTCAACTTCTCACTCCACCACTCCTTTTTTCTTCCCTGTAAAACATGTTGCTTCTTTAGTTCCCATCAGTTGTTGCCTGTGAAGTGTTCTTTTTTCCTAGCCTGCAGTTGGTGGGGGGGGAGTGGAGGGTGTCGATTTTTTAAGTCTCTGGCCAGCTCCAAATGCTGTAGCGTTCATTTTCCTCGTGTTTCTTTCACAAACAGACTGATTGTCCTGCCACTAGTTTACCGCACGGGCTGGTGAGTTGCAGGTTCTGCTCTCTACTCAGAACTCGGTGCTCCAGAGTATTCTGTGGGGTTTGTTTGAAGTGAAGTAAGACAGTGAGGACAGCTGGACAGCTTTGACTTCATTCTGCAATAATGTGATTGTGGCTGTTGAAACTGTGGAGCATTAAACAGGTTTTTAAAAGATCCAGGTTGGCTTAGATGTTTTCTGCCCTGGAATTTCTTATGTTTCTCCTGAGGGCTGAAGTGGCAGACCCTCATCTTGAGTCTTTGACCCCGTTTGTTCCAGATCAGGTGGTAAGAAGTTGTGGGACTCCTTACTGACTTAAGCACTAAGTGTACAGACAATAATGACCAACATTTGGGCTGACAAGATGCAATGAGAGTAAATTAACTTTCTGTTTTCTGAAATCTGTTTCAGCAACTTTACCAGATCCTGACAGACTTTGATATCCGGTTTTATATGTATGAACTACTTAAAGTAAGTGGCATTCGTAAACAGTGAACTTTTTCAGGCTTATTCATTAAAGGAGAAGTTTTTGAGAAGACAAAGAGAATTCAAGCAGAATATTTCTTGATACCCAGAGAATTTAGTGAGATTTTTTTTTTCTTTTAACTTATATTGAGGCCTCTGTCATAGGATCTTTACATAGAAACTTTCCAGTGGATCTGAGAATGATGGCCAAGTCAAGGGTCCCAAGGACATTAAACCAGAGATTAGAACCTTCCTCTTTATAGCTCTGGTTGGCCCTTGGATTTTCTTTTTTCTGTTTAATTAATACTTACTGTTAGTTTTCACTGCGTAACAAGTCATCCCAAACTTAGTGACTATTTAAAAGTGATTTATTTCTCATAATTCTGTGGGTTAGCTGGGGTGGTCTTTTGGATGGCCTCATTCACATAATCTGGGATGGCAGCTGGAATGGCTGAGGTCTTGTCCTCCAGGAGGTTAGTCTGGGCTGCCTCCCATGGTGGTCCTGGGGTTCCTAGCAGCAAGAGAAGGCAAACCTCAGTGTGTAAGCACTTTTCAAGCCCCCACTTGTGTCGTGTTTGCTAATGCCCTATTGGCCAGAGCAAGTCATGTGGGCAAGCCTAGAGTCAAAGGATGGAGAAGCGGACTTCCCCTCTTGGTGGGCAGACTGTTGAAGCCACCTTGTGGAGGGATATGCACACAGGGATGGCAGGCATTTGCAGCCATCTTGTTCTTGCCATCTCTCACGATCCACTTCTCATGAGACGCCCTGTCCTCTAGCCTACCCCACTGGCCCTGGTTAGTTAACCTTGACACACAGGGAGGGGTGCTGGGCGGACCCTCTGGGAGACCTACCAGTCCCAGGACTGAAATCTTCAGGCATTACTGATGGATGGAAGAATGATCTGTTTTAGTTTGTCTGGGTAAACACTTAGGTACGGAATTCTAAAAAGGTTTGTAGAATGGCATAGACCAATGGTTCTTAAGTTTTTTAGGGTCATGAATCACTAAGAATCTAATGAAAGCTATGAACTCCCCTCAAAATGGATGTATAAATATACAGTATTACATAAGTTTTGGGGAGGGTGTGGACCTCAATTTAAGTACCTCTGAAAGAATATAGAGGTGACTCAGCTGTTGACATTACTGAAGAAAATTGCCAAAATGGAGTTTTGATGGCATAAAAAGTTGCTTGGGCAAAATACCAAGTTAGATTAAGGCTGAGCTTTAGGGAACGGGAATTTGAAGAACTAGCCTTATGAGATGAATGTGTTTTCTTACAAGAACTTGCATAAACTACTTGTCGTTAGAGCCAAAGTGGTGGATTTAAGGGTTCGCTCTAATGGCTCTTGGGTCTTTCTTTTGTCGATAAGATCAGAAAGATGGAGAAGGTAGAGCTTGGTTTATCCCATACTCTTCCGTGTCCACTCCAAACTAGAATTGGAGGCCTCATGGGGGAGAGCTTTGCAGAGGCGTGTCCTGTGAACTGTCAGGCTAGCCAGTCCCTGGAGGGGCTTCCCAGAGAATCCCGAGCAGTCACCCCAGGAGAGCTGCCATCCAGATCCCACAATTGGTTATTCTTTAAAACGAGGTATTAAGAGTTTGTGGTTAGCTGGCACACCAAAGGTAGGATGTATAACCTAGCACAGTTATCCTTAGATGAGGTAGGCATCCCGATGGTGCGGGTCTCCACGGCTGCGCATGCACATGGCACTCAGTGTTTGATGTCCTCTCTGCTTTCTGGAGGTGGCAGGTAGGTGGTAAGGGCATACTTTGTGCTAATGAGGCATAGAACCGTAGATGAAACTCGAAAAACGTCTTTCATGCTTAATGGTCAGAAACCACCCAATTTTAAAACTGAAATAATTCCCCAAAGAATTTAAGAGCATGTCAGTGTCTCCACAGGGAGTCTGACTAGTGAACTTGGCAAAATAACTAATTCCTTTCCTGTATTTGTTCAGCCTTTGCTTCCATCAGGTATTTTTCACATCCCAGGTATTGGGGTTCTAATTAGTTTATTCCTTTGGGCAAAGACTAGGCAAAATAATAGAATCAGCACTTCCTAACTGTTCTCTTTGTTGGGGGAACGGGGCTAGGGAAGAGGAATATTTAACTCAATTAAAACTGTAGAAGAAACTGAGGCTGAGGGCTGCAGAGCGATTGCTCAGGGCCTCACTGAGGCTATGCGCAGAGTCTTGTCTGATTTGGATTCGGGGAGGTCTGTTCTCAGGAGTCCTGGTTTCAGAAGGCACTGCCACAAAACCACTGTGGAGTCTGGCTACAGCTCTTGGTGTAAAACAAAGAGAAAAATTAAATGGAAGTAGAACTTACATAAATGAAGTGAATAAATCTTAAGTGTACAGTCTTGGATTTTACATAAGTGAAACCTTCACCCAGATACACACAGAACTGTGCTGTCCCATATAGTAGCTGCTGCCTGCAGGTAGCTATTTAAATTAAGTAAAATTAAAAATGCAGTTTCTTAGTCACATTTCAAATACTCAGTGGCCTCATGTGGCTAGTGGCTACCATATTGAGCAGTGCAGATGTAGAACTTTCTGTTGTTGCATAAAGTTCTGGACAGGGTTGGTAGAGAATATTATGAATACCCGAGAAGGCTCTCTTGTGCCTGCTTCTCTTCAGTATTCGCTCCTCTGAAGATTATATTTTCACCTCCATCACCAGAGTTGAGTGTTGGGTATTCTTGACCTTCATATAAAAAGCATCATGCACTGTATACTCTTGCGTCTGAGGAAAGCAAAATTTGCTTATTCCTGAAATGTTGATCTTGGGCTCATTCTCTGGCTTATGTATTCCCTCCCATGTAAAGATGCCTGGTACCGTGCCCTTGCTAGTCTAGTCCACTGCTTCTTAACTAGGTCAGCTTTGTCCCCCAGGGGACATTTGTCAGTGTCTGGAACCATTTTTGGTTGTCACAATTGGAGAGGTACTACTGGTAGAGGCCAGGGATTCTGCTAAACATCCTGTAATGCACAGGACGGCTCCCTACAACAAAGGGTTATCTGGTCCAAAATGCCCACAGTGCTGAGATTGAGAAACCCTAATCTTGTCCCATGGAAAACTCCACCAAGAGCGCTCAGGGCCAAGCACATAGTAGGTGGGTGAGATTCTGGGTTGCTGTCATTATTGTAACTCAAGGAGTATATCATGAGATTCATGTAGGCTTCAAGTGCTTTTTAAGACAAACCAAAGGTCCTAACATTGAAATTTATGAAAATAGTTACTGTGTTAGAAAAGGGAGATTTAGGAGCAAATTTTTATGTTATTTGTTTTTAAAAAAACCCAAATAACTCATAAAACATGAGTGAAAGATTTGAATCAACATTTGTCTAAAGATGATGCAGGCATACCTCATTTTATTGCGCTTCGCAGATACTGTGTTTTTTACAAGACCTTCCACCAGCAAAAAGATTACAACTCACTGAAGGCTCAGATGATGGTTGGCATTTTTGGGCAATAAAATGTTTTTAAATTAAGGTATATACATTGGTTTTTTTAGACATATTGCTGTTGCACACTTAATAGACTACAGTAAGTGTAAACGTAACTTTCACATGAACTGGGAAACCAAAAAATTCATATGACTCACTTTATTGCTATATTAACTTTATTGCAGTGGTCTAGAGCCGAATCTGTGGTGTCTCCAAGTATGCCTCTATAGGCTGGCCAGTAAGCACAGAAAAAGATGCTCACCTTTATCGCTCGTTAGGAAAGTGCAAATCAAAACCACGGTGAGGTACCACTTCAGACCCACTGGAAGGGCTATGATCAAAAAGAGGAACAATCGCAAGTGTTGGCACGGATGTAGAGAAACCGGAACTCTCATACATTGCTGCTGGGAATGTAAAATGGTGCAGCCACTTTGGAAAACAAGCAGATTCTTAAAAAGTTTAATGTAAACTTACATACAACCTAGCGTTTCCACCTTTAGGAATCTACCTGAGAAAAGTGAAAGTATATGTCCTCTCAAAGACTTGTACGTGAATGTTCTTAGCATTATTCGTAATAGCCAAAGAGTGGAAACAACCCAAATGTCTGTCACCTGGATTCATACAGTGGAATACCATTCAGCAAGAAAAAAGCAACGTGGATGAATCTCAGAATCATTATGCTGAGTGAAAGAAGCTAGACAGAGTACTATGTATTATTTCACTTTATAAATGTCCAGAAAAGGCAAATCCATGGCAACAGATAGATCAGTGGTTGGAGGGAGAGAGAAAGGAAAGGGAAAGTAGGAGGAAGATGGGAATGAGAATTGACTGCAGGCAAGCTGAAGGGAAATTCTTGGGATAATGGAAAATTTCTAAAACTGGATTGTGCTAATAGTTGCATAACTCCATAAATTTACTAAAAAATCATTGACTTGTACACTTAAAAATCTTATTTGCATATCAACTATCTTATAGGAAGCAGTTTCCTCCCTAGAGTAATAATATAATTATAATTAAAGACCAGATGGTTCAGGGATTGTTTTTAAGGAAAATACTAATGTTAAAATGCATATTATTCGTGAAAACCTGCATGGAACACTTACCTAAAAGACACTCTGCGTTGAAAGATGTATGTGGATGTCATTCATTGTGTCCACATGGACTTCTGCATGTCCTTTGAACCACTAGGAGAGGTGACTCCAGGGAGGTTCCCAGATCTGGCTTTAAACACATCAAATTAGCCCAACAAATTAATGTGTGATTTCTAAATCCAGGTGGTTGGTAAATTACTACCAGCTACAATTAGGAGAGGAGCTCCTGAAGAAGGGTGTCATTCCCCCTTTTTAAGAAACCTTCATGGTAGCCCTTCATGTACCTTCCTACCAGCTGCCAACGTAGTATGCACAGACAGCAGGGGTGTCTTCTGAAGCATGTTTTTTCTCTTTCGTTACAGACAGTAAGCTGCCCCTTGGGAGACTGTTCAAGTCAAGCTGTCACAACCAAATAAGAATATGCTTGCATTGGGGGGTGGTAGAGGGTTTGCTTACTTTTCTCTGTGCTTTCTTATCTAATAGGCTCTGGATTACTGCCACAGCAAGGGAATCATGCACAGGGATGTGAAACCTCACAATGTCATGATAGATCACCAACAGAAAAAGGTACCATTACAGCCAGGCAGCAACAGGCCTTTCACTGGAAGGCTTAGGGCAGACCAAAATGCTGGCCAGGACCTAGGTGGTTTCTGGAGACCCAGGCTGTTTGCTTTGGCAGACTTGTGATAACTGTTACTTCTCCAGTCTCCAGTGTTGGTTTCTACTTTGCATAAGCAAAGTACTCAAGGAAGGTAGACAGCTGACCTTAACTGTAACCACTTGTTTATTTTGGTCCTGGTTCTCAGGAGGGCCTCACGAAAGAAACTACAGCTGATAGTTTCTACTTCTTTTTTTAACAACCCTCAGACCAATCTGCCTGGCCTTAAAAGTACAGTTGGGTCCCTCCTCCTTTCGGTATCCAATTCTGGTTGTCCCTGATTGGTGAGTAAATGAATCACTAGTATTAGGTTAATGAAAAGCTAGAATAGTGCTACTGTCCAGGAGTGGGGCATATGTCCCCAAGCCTTTCAGTTATGACTAGAGCTTATAATGAAAGCTGTTAATGATGGGGGAATGTGTCACACATCTAAGTGGTATGGAGGCAGAAAGAAAGCTTGAGCTCTATTGATGTAGAGAGGATGATGAGCCGGGATCATTTAAATTTAAAAAGAGAAAAAGTGAATCAGATTCTGAGTGCTCTGCTCTAGAGATAACCTTTTATGCAGTTGCTGAAAGTGTAGTTTTTTAGCCAGTGCACCTGCTAACATTTTTTTATGTGGCCAAATAATTGTTATCTGATGTGACGTGGCCTTGTTCTAAGGCACAGGCCTCTAGAAACAGTCCTCTCACCTCCTTCGTTTGTGTCCTATTTGCAGCTGCGGCTGATCGACTGGGGCCTGGCGGAGTTCTATCACCCTGCGCAGGAGTACAACGTCCGTGTCGCCTCCAGGTACTTCAAGGGACCAGAGCTCCTCGTGGACTATCAGGTAAAATGGTCAGCACAGCGCCTCTGGGTTCTTTTTACATCTCCTTAGGGCTTTTCCTGGTTTACTGTTTGTGTAGTTAATTTGGATACATTCAAAACCTAGTCTTTATTCCACTCCAAAATGGTAATTTCCAATTTTTCTCAGCTACTTTTTATTTTGCTTGAATTCTAAAATATCTTATCTCCTCAGATGTATGATTATAGCTTGGACATGTGGAGTTTGGGCTGTATGTTAGCGAGCATGATCTTTCGAAAGGAACCCTTCTTCCATGGACAGGACAACTACGACCAGGTGAGCAGACCCCATCTGACTCATATCCATTTGGGGGCAGATGCGAAGAAAACAACATCCCTTGATAGGGATTCTGTCCTTGAGCCCCTAAATGGCACTCAACATCTGCACTTGAGCTTTTCTTCAGGGTAAAGAATTTCACAAAATTTTGTCTGTGGTTACCAGGTCCCCAGAAAGATACAGACACGTAATGCTATCTTGTGCCCAGCTTCTAAAGTGGGTCTGTGAAGAAGTCAGGCACCTCCTTGTCTGTTAAACTGGATTCTAGTCATTAGGTTGTGATGCCCCATAATCATCAGTTTCTAGAAGATTATTGTCGTAAGTTCTGTTACCATTTTAAAGGCAGTTTTGAAATGTGCATTCACGTGAACTTGGGTGTCCTTGCCTCTGCTGCCTCTCTGCCCCGGGCCTGGGTCTGTGTCTGGTCCCTGGAGATGTGGTGAGGTGCAGGTGCTCTGAGTCCTTGTACAGCATTCTCACGGGCTGGCAGTGAGCCCCGTGCTCAGTGATTTGGTCAGTTTGTTTTGTGTTTCAGCTTGTTCGCATTGCCAAGGTCCTGGGGACAGATGAGCTATATGGGTACCTGAAGAAGTATCACATAGACCTGGATCCACACTTCAACGATATCCTGGGACAGTAAGTAAGAGAGAGGGAAAGAAAGAGGATTTCACTTACCCACTTCAGGAGGGGGAAGCTGAGCCGAAAGTGCTTTCTCAAGCTCTTTCCCCTTTCTGAGCATGTCAAAGTTGAAAGATCCTTTTTTGCTCTGTTTTTTTTTTTTAACTTATTTTGAGATATTTGGGCATTGCTTACATGTGTCTTCTAATCATTTTTACTTCTCTAAGAGATAACTTGCTTATCAATAGAAAATGGAAGACAAAATCACAGTGTTACAGAAAAAAGCTTTTTGGTACAACATATGCTTATTTTAGTGGAAAATCTTAGAAGATGTGATTCTTTTAATTAGAGATTTATAATTTCTTTATGTTCTGTGTAATGGACTTTGTATAAGGTAGCAAATTTTAAACCATGTTTTCAGATAAACAGTGCAGTAGCGTTGAAATGCATAGGTTGTGTTGACAATTTTCAAACTATTTTATGAGGCTTCATGTTTCTGAGGCTAGCTCTCTAAATATATTTGCTGAACAATAAAAATTACTCAGCTACCTCTGTGCTTCGCCCAGAATTGACTAAAAGCCTGGGCATAAAACATAATCTAGAAGGGTTCCACAAATTCTAAATCAGATGTAGAAGTTTTAATTAAGTTCATGTATCAGGACACTGTTTTGTTTGAGGATGCTGTGATTGTAACTGTGGGGGTGGAGTAGGTACCCAGAAGAGTGAGATTTAACGAGCTTGTTGTCAGTGCAGTATTCTAAGATTTTGTTGCCTTCAGCCCTAGTACGTAAGGAAGGATTCTTGTTGAATTCAATCTCAGAATACTAATGCTTCCCTTTTCTCCTCAGACATTCACGGAAACGCTGGGAAAACTTTATCCATAGTGAGAACAGACACCTTGTCAGCCCTGAGGCCCTAGATCTTCTGGACAAACTTCTGCGATACGACCATCAACAGAGACTGACCGCCAAAGAGGCCATGGAGCACCCATACTTCTGTGAGTCTCGGGGTAATCTATTAAAGGGAAAGCTCTTCTACCCTTTATGCTTGGCACCAGTCAAGAGAATTCTAGGTATTTGCATTGAATTGTCCCTGGACTTTGGCCTCATTAGTTCTAGACTGTTGAGACAGCTTTGCAGATCTGTTTCTTGATCCCCAAAGGTGTTTCCTTGTCCTCCACTGCAGCTCCCTTGAGTCTGGTCCCTTTGACCATTCCCTGTGGCCCTGAGTTTATAGATCACTGGTATCTAAAATTTTTTTTCAAATATATACATTTGTGTAGGAACTAATCAAAGATTTTATTTCCCCTTCAAAAAACAAGTAATTAGGTGAAAGTGATAAGGTAACCATAGTAAATTTTTAAAGAAGAAAATAAGTTAAACGGAATTTGGGGAAAGGAGAGCAGGTATAGAAAGACCTCACTAAACTCCTGTCTGAATTACAGACTCCTTAGGTCTCACTTGGAACTCTGGGTGCATATTCAGTTGCTGCTTATTGTTCTGCGTGCATATAGTTCTCCCCACTGATAAAGTACGTCTCAGACTTTCCTCTTACTGGCGGCAGTGTGAGATGTTTTAGTCCAGTCCCAGAGGAGACTGAGAATAAGGGAGGTTAAGTGACCTGTCTCAGTTCACTCTCTGAATCAAGATGAACACTTGCACCCTGTCTCTTGCTTGACCAATATGCTATCTTTCCTTCTCCTTTTTTCCCCTCTGGAGGTGAACTAAATCTCCCCCGAAGAATGGGTTGCTGTGTGGTGTGGCACCTGCTGGCCCATGAGCGTCAGTAGACAGCAGAGTGAAAAGATCTCACCCTCAGCCTTCCGACCTCACACTAGTGCAGCTCAAGTGTCCCCTTTCCAGTTTCCTGCACAGAAAGCTATTTTCACCCTTTGTGTTAGATTGAATTGAGAACACTCGTGTTTATAACATGTAATTCATGATCTGTCTACTTTTCTGAATGTACATCATACTTCAAAAAAATTTTTTTTAAACTGCTGTTGCTTAAAATTGCTAGGTCTTCTAACGGCTCTTTTTAGTCACCCTTTCCTCTGAAGTGCTTATTATTGCACAAGCTTTGAAGAAATTGGGGCTTGGATGTGATGTTAGTATTCAAGGAAAATAACACATAAGAAAATTAGGAGAAATTCTGAACAGTGGGAAATGAGTGTTTCTGTGCCTCTCTTTTCCATGAATCTCAGTAATTGAACTTGTATTCTGAGGAACTATAAGAGTTGACTGTAAGAGTAATTCCCCCTGGTCATTTTTCAGTGTCTGGTTTTTCTATAACGTTAATTCTGTAATTTCTGTTGCCCTCCTGGCCCTGACTTTCCTGGCGGTCTCTCTCTATCTCACTGTGGAAGAGTTGCGTTTGTTGTGATGCTCATGAGCTCACTCTAACCTTTGCTGATTTGCCTAACCATAAAATCTCCCACATGGCCAGCCCCGATTCCACTGACTTTCCTCCTTTTTCTTGCAGACCCCGTGGTGAAGGAGCAGTCCCAGCCTTGTACAGATAATGCTGTACTTTCCAGTGGTCTCACAGCAGCCCGATGAAGACTGGAAAGCGACGGGTAATGCGGCATTGATGCTTGCCAATAAAACCAACCAACCAAACAGAAATCTTGAAGGAAAACTACAATGTGATAAAAAGAAATTCTAGTCATTCCTTCCAAACGCAAAGAACAGTAAAGACCTAAAAGTCTGTCAAAAAGAAACTCCCCAGTATTAGTCTACAGGGAGCTGCCGTTCTGGCAGCGTGACGATGCACACAGTTCAGGATCTGAGGGGACTCTCCCTTTGGAATGCATGGGGGATGAAAGGCTCGGAGTTGTTGTACATTTCCCTTATTTAACAGGAGACCACTGTTGAATTAACTCGTTCAGTCAACAAGCTCTGAATTTCTGGCTTCCCATCTATTCCTCTGTGGTCTGGGTTTCCTTTGGTGAGATTCAGGCTCAAGTTTTAGCAAAATGTCAGCAGTCTGTACTGACACACCAGCCTCATTTATGAAAAGGAGATATTAAAACGGTGACAGTATTTTTTTTTTTAAGCTCTTATACAAATTCATGTTTTATGTATTTTTTTATGACATGAGCTCTCTAGGAAATGTACCTCAACCCTGCGGTTTTCTTCTGAGTGTGTTCATTTTGGAGCAAACTGTAGTCGCCCTCACAGAGCCCCCTTCGATGTCAGGAGGCCTCACTTTAAACCTGGTGATGCCGTGGACAGGCCCATCAGTCTCATCAAAGTTCTGTGCTAAGTGCATAACTTGAGCTCACTCTAACCTTCGCTGATTTGCCTAAGCATAAAATCTTACTGCTATTTTTTTCATGTAGCTTTTTTTTTTTTGCCGCCTTGTAAGGAAAACCTCACCTTTCTCAGCACATCCCTGTGTGTGCACCTCTTTTAATGCACCTCTCTGAAACAAAGACTTTTTGTTCACAACCATAACTAAAGCTGGAAAGTCAGTCTTCAGGCAAGTCGGGGAGGGAGAAAAATGTCCTATCAGAATTTATTTAGGAAAGACTTACTGTGTGAAAAAAACGTACTTCCCAACCCCTCCCTTTTTGCCTCTTTTTTTATCCCCATGAGAAACAATTTCCTGCTGTAATTAGGGTAATCTGCTTTTTTAAGCTCTGATAGGTAATACATGAATGTGGTGGCAAAGCTGAGTCCCACATGCAGGCACTGGAGTCGTGTGGGCAGGGCCGCCCCATGACCCAAGCAACTGAGGAGAGCAGCATCCAAGGGGCTCGGGGAAGGCAGTGGAGCTCCTGGGCAAGTATCAAAGCTTGGGCTCCATTGTGCTAGCCTTCACATTAACAAAGGGAGCTAGATTTTGTTTAAAAAAAAAAAATAGGGCTGATTTCGTTTTGGGGGACTTGTCACCAGTATGATTTGCAAGCAGTCCCCTCACCCCAGCTGCAAGCCTTGACAGCTGTGGGGACGTCACACACCTAGGCTAGAGCTAGAGGTGTCTGCCATCCCATCACACTTTAGGATTTCTTTATTAACTATTTAATAATGCCATACATTTTTATAAGGTTAGATTGTTTGTTTGAAAACATCTGTTTACATTCCATATTCCAATAAAATCGTATTGGTATTGGTAGCAGGTCCTATCTCTAAATGTAGATTCTATTTTTGTCGTTTGGTCTGTGGAAACTTAAAATGCAAATAAAACTCTTATTGTAGAGTTGAGCTTACAGATTAAAAATTAAGATCCCAAGGCCAAGAAATGCACTGAGTTACTGCCTGCGTTGCACATTCTGTATATTAATGTATATGTGTTCTACCTGAAAATCAAAGACAAGACATGAGCTCTTGGCTGAACCTATGTTGACATGTCAGGCAGCAAAATTCAGTGTTTGGGATTATTAAAAGCCTTCTCATGTGCCCTTCTAGGCAACACCGAACTGTTAGATATTGTCAGGGAGATGTGCCACTGTGTGTCCTTCCTGTCCCCTACCTCTCATCCCCTCCTTTGTCACCCAGCATTTTAAATTTTAAGTTGCCTGTCTGGACCAGGCAGGGGAAGCCTCTTGGAGCGTCTTGGTGAAGCGGTAACCGTTTCTTTCCCTTGGGTCCCCCAGAGGCAATAAAAGCAGTTGGAGGAGAAGAGTCAGGTGCCTTACTTCTGCCTCTCTCTCCTTTGGTCACGATGTAGTAGTGCAAACACAGCCGACCTGTCTGTCCTGCGTTCTGCAGCTGCCGCTTTGACACAAGAGTCATTGTCTTTCTGCATACAGTGTACTGTTACGCCACCTATGCTTCTGACCTCTCCTCATGCCTTAGACATACAGCATGACTGAGTTTAAAATGCTCGCTCCTGTCTGAGTCTGGTCTTGACACCCTGCCTCCTGGCTGCTTGACTGTAGGTGGTTCTTTCCCAAACTGAAGTGAGTCTAGTCCAGACCTTTTCTCGTTTACCTAGCTCCAGGACCATTTTGTGTCCAGATGGGCCCAGCTCCCCTGAGACCTTAGAGTATTTACCCTGGTTAGGAGATGGTCTTGGAGAGTTCCAGAAGAGAGATGAGAGAGTATGTGTGAGAGAGAGAGTATGTATGTGTGTACGTATGTATGTATCTAAGAGTGGGAGTCTAGTCTTAGATGAAGCTGTGGTAGATTTTTTCCCCCTTAATATCCTTTTCAGGTAGCATATTATTTCTTTAATTCATCTCAGTAATTTTCATTAGACATTTCGTTTGCTTCAGTACCTTATAACTGGTTAAAAGTGCCTATGATAAGGACTTGTTATTTCCTAAAGAAAAGCAAAAAACGTGGGGAACAGGGTAGTGTTACACTATCATCTCAGGTACTGCCTGTGTTCAAGAACCTAGACCTGGTGTGGTGAGGACAAAAGGTTCCTGTGCCAAACACAGATCAGTGTGTCATAGTTCATTGGCCGCACGTGAGCATAGCTACCCAGGCTTGCTTAGCCGAGGACCCGCATGGTAAGAGCAGAACCGAGGGAGTGTGGGGAGTTCCGTCTGGTTTGCTGGCAGTTCGCTCTCCCTGGATCATATCACTGGCCTGCTCCTGTCCTCTCCTCTCCCTGTGGAGGGGTCTGGGTGGGAGAAGCCGCAGTGTATAATGCAGACCAGGCATTCCTGGGTCTTCTTACCGGTCAGAGGAGGGCCGATGCCAGTTATGTGAACCGCTTCAACGTGAGCCACTCCACTGGGCTCCTAACATTTTCTAGCATGTTGGTACTCACAAGGCTCAAAGCAAATGTATTTCTTTGCAGAGAAGGAAGTGCTCTCAGACTGATTAGAGGAGATAGAAGAGCTTGTAATCCTTGGGAGCTGGGAGAGGGGCTATTAAAGGGAGAAAGGGAACCAATAAGAAAAACAGGCAAAAGGTAGATCTTGAGGAGGGACCATGACCTCTTGAGGGGAGAAAACTAGGGGACATGAAAACTTGGAATGTGCCCTGAGATGGGCACTGCCCCTGGATTGGTTCCAGTGGGACCGAAAGGTGGTGCTCTCAAGGCAGATGCTGAGGCCCAGAGAGAGCTGACGGGACGGCTGTGGGTCTCAGGCTGCACCTACTCAGGGAAATGACTTAGGTTCTCCCAGGTGCTGCGTTGATGAGGATGGAAGCAGAATTATTTTGGGATGCAAGCGACAGTTGGAAAAATTTTTATATTGAAACGGAGCTGAGAGAGCCCAGTTAACAGTTTCCTTTAATGCCAGTTCAGGTTCAGTGATTCATTTAGTAACCCTTGTTTCTGCATGAGCACCCACGGGAAAAAGCACACTTCCCTCCTGCAAATAAATAGGAGTGGATAATAACTGATCAGAGTCAAGGTCATTGAAATATAACCCCTTTCAAAAGCAAAAGCAAGGTCCACGTGAGCACACAAGAAGCCAAAGTTTGTCAGTGAGCTTAACAAATCTAAGACAGTAATGTCCTGCCTTTAAAAACTAACCCCAGGGTGGGAACAGGAGGGCGGGGAGGTGGCGGGGAAACAGCTGGCTAAGAAGACTGGTAAGAACGTACGTTTTTTGAGCTATATGGATGTGTTAATGAAAACGACCCGAACAAGGTGGTACAGAGGCTGGGGAAAACGATGTGATGGGATATACAGGTGATGCATACCTTTGTGTAGAGTCTCAACAATGTGCTACAAATGTGATGGTTAATCCTGAACTGCATGTATTGGGGATTGTTTAAAAAGAGAAAACTCTCATTGAATCAATAAATTAACAGTTTTTCACTCGCTGGCTTTTCTTGCTGTAAATGGTGACTAAGAGGTTGGGACAGAAATCTTGACACCCAGTGGAAAGCTTGGACAAATCTTCAAGAACCATGGAGCCGACTTTCTTTCTGTTTGCAGAAAAGCAACACTGCCTGGGTTGTGATTTACAAATGACTGCTTCAGACACGATGGGCCACCTCTTTGTATCACTGGGTGACTGATGTGTGGTTTATGTGCTGCTGTCCATGGAAGAAAGAAAAACACCGTGTTAAATCCTGTTTTCTTAAATAAAAATGTTGCTAATCACCAGCCCTGCCAAGTGGGAGACCAGCCACTGCTGTGAGGGCCTTAACCTTGTATTTCCTGTCTCTCGGGGGAGCGGAGGGATGAGCTTCGAACTGTGGGATGTGTGTGTGGTGGATGCAGTCAGTCACCTTGGTGTGACGACTCCTGTAGCAGGAGAGGGGACTAGAGTGGTGTCGTGGGGATTGTTCTGTTTCTTGGTAGTTGATTCTGAATTCCACCATTGCGACACCTGCCTCTCGGATTGACCTGTTGTCTTGCACAACTTTAACCTTTGTGGCAGAGTGTTCTGCATTTTTGAAAATCTCTGCAGCCCCATTTTTTGCAACATAGGCGGGCACCTGCTATCGTTTGGCAGATGGCAGTGTCTTTATTTATTGAGCTCTTTTCTCACTGACTGGTCTCTCTGTGGAGTTGGATGCTTAGAAATCAGTTTCCGAAGTGCTTCAAGGCAAATAGAGCTCTTTCTTTCTTAATTTAAGCACCACGCAGCCTTTCTCAAATGCTAAGCAGTAGACCCCTGCTCCTTTACCCAAAGAGAGTGTTCATGAAATGGTGTTTCTGTGTGAGAGCTTCCCAGGTCCGTAGTCCTTTCTCAGTGCTGTGTTTCTGTTCTGAGACACTGCTGGCATCTCACCACCCACTCACTGTGCTGGACATGGAAGGAGAAACGAGGTTTGCAGGCCGTGCCAGACAGCTGCTTCCAGGGGAGAGTTAAAAATGTTTGAGCTCCCTTTTTGCTCTTTATTAGTGGACTCGGCCCTTTCCCTGTGTAAAGACAGTCATCTGATTCTTAGTCCCAAGATGTTCTCAGTAAATAGGGTTGGGTCTGATGGGGATCTACACTTGACCTGCTGAACTTGTAGCTTGGCTTGCATGGAATGGTCAGGAGGCCTCACTAAATCAGCGTTCTGGACCTGAGAGAAGGGGAGGAGACTTGGTCACAGTGTCCAGAACTTTCCTCTTGCTCTCACAGAAGGCCGTGCCAAACACTGCCTCTGTTAATGGTGATCAGAAGAGGAAGGAAGAGGGTACCGTTTGAAACCTGAAACCATAGAGGCAGTTCTTAGCTAGGTTTTCCGCAAAGTGGCATGGGAAAGTCAAGCTTGCATACTGTCCCCAGCCCTCTTCAAGAGGAGGAGGCCACTTGCGAGTGGAGGCCTGTCCTTCCTCCCGGTCAGATTAATTAACGCCATCTTTCCCCTCCTCCCATCTCTTTCCCCAGGTCTGTTGCGGTTCCTCCCACTTTTCCATAAGCAGAACAAGAACCAAATCAAACGTCTTAACGTGTGTAGAGAGATCACGTTCCGTGAGCAGACACAAAATGGTGGCAGGTTTGGCGAGCACGAACTAGACCAACCGAAGGGCAGCCCACCACCGTTTATCAAACCTCACTTCCGAATGTAAAAGGTTCACACGCCTTTGGCTTCCTGTTGACTTCCTCCTGACCCAGAAAGCATGGGAAATGTGAAGGGTATGCAAAATGGTTGTTGGTTACTGTTGCTCCCCCGCGCCCCTTGATTCGTCCTGCGGCCGCCTGTTTTTCCAGCAGACCACGTTAACTGGCCGGCCACAGACTCCACAGTACGGGAATGGGGGCATATATGGCATGAAGGGCAGTTACATATTATAATTTTAAAAGTATATATTATTGAATAAAAGGTTTTAAAAGAAATGTATGGAGAGTTTTCAGTATGGAAGGGGCCATTAACTGAGACCCGTGGCCACAGAGGACTGAGTGAAATAGAAGAGCATATGTGCCAGGTTGTAGCCAGAGGAAAGCGGGGGAGTCCCAGAGGTGAGGAGGGCTGGTCTGAAGGATGCTCTTTACAGAGATGAGGAGTTGAGAGAGCGAACTAGTCCTGGGGATGGGGTAAACCGCAGAGAGTTTGCGTAGACTCCGTGGGCCAGGAAAGCCCAGCTTTGTCTTGAACACATTCATCTTCCCTTGACCCCTCCTTCCGAAGCAGGTGAGTCACCCAGTGATTTAGGTGGTAAGGAAATGTCACCTCTGATGAACTCAGGAAGATGACTTAGCCCCTTCTTTGCTTTCCCTTTGCTCGTGTCTTCATATTTCATCCCCACCCCGCATCCTCTGCTCGCTCCCCATGGCCCCTTCTGAAAAAGCCTCTTACCTTGGAGGATGGCTGAGTCTGCTGTCCTCGGGCAGGGAAGGGGTCGGGGGTCTCACGTCCAGATCTATAGGCTGCTTCTGCTCGCACTCTGAAGCTCCCGGGAACTGGAAGGAAAAGTGGCCCACTCAAATGTGAAAGAGGGTGGAGTGGAAGTACTGATCACATTTATTAAGTGGAAACAACTAAACCCGTTTTACAAATTAAGCCTCCCCTGGCCACCTCAGTCCTTCCCTCCCAGAACAGGTGTACCACGTGGAGGTGAAAGCAGCAACAACCTAGTGGCTGCCCAGCCTTGTGTCTGGCTGTGGCCTGTGTCGTCCCACTGCCCGTAGAGAGCAGAAGGACAGGCTGACCCCACCGCTCAGGCGGCTGGGTGAGGTGCCCACTAGTTCTCTACAAAAGAACTTGATCTGCACAACATTCCTTCTCCTTCTCTGCTGCTTGTCCTGAACAGGTGACTATAGGAATCCAGGTGTGGATGCTCACAGTTTTTGAAGCAATTATGGGGGTAAGCAAAGAGGCCCCTCAGGGTCACCACAACGTCACAGTGTACCTTGGACCAGCTTCTGTCGGATCCAAACAGTTCCTCGGGTGTGGGCGCTCAAGGCTGTGCACGCCCTGGACACCAGTGAGTGAGGGCCCACAGGCCCACCACCAGCTGACTTTGTTAGGCCAACCGGACACCAAATGGATGGACTTGGTACTTTCTCACTCCATCACTGGCCTAGTATTCTCAAGTGGTCTCTCTCATGAGGCCCTTTTTGACACAAGGCTCTGCAAATTTCTGTTGGTCTCTCAGCTCTCTGGGACAGCATCTCAATACCGTGTTATAATGAGCACATCCCTGAAGCTCCTGTGGACCTGGTGCTTTGTACGTGCGTGTTTATCTACGCGGTGCGTTATCTCCATGTCGACCAGCTGGCCTTCAAGGGCATTCCCAGACAGGAAGAGTCTCTGGAGCAGACACATGGTCGGCTGGCTTGTGAGTTCTTTAGATGCCATGCAGAATTTGAACGCTAGCTTTGTCCTCCAATTTCCCTTCTCAACCAAAATAATCTTGGTTTTTATGGATGATTATTGTTGGGTGAGAGAGTGTTTGGTTGTGGAAAGAAAGGGAAGGAGGAGTTGTTGCTTAGCTTGTTTTGGTCTTGAGAGAAGGGGACAAGGAACCTGCTAACCCAAGCGCAGTCTAAAGCTCATCCCCAGGGTGCTTGGAAATTCGGAACATCAGTTCACATCTTTCAGTTGTCCTGCTTATGTTTGGGTTGTTTAAAGTAACATTGAATTTTCCTGATTACCAAAGTAATAATATGCTCACGGTAAAAAAATTCATATGTTACGTAACAGTAAGTAATGAAAGCCTACCCCCCCCAACCACATACACACATGTACAAAAACTCTTTCCTCCCTTGGAGGTAACCACAGTTAAATTTGGCTATATTTTCCAATTTTTTTCTGTACCTTTACTAACATTTTTAAATTACAACTATTATTTTTACAGAAATGTAATCAGACTATAGATTCTTTTGCAACTTCTGTTTTCACTTAGTTGTGAAGTTCTTACTGTGTTAACATGTGTAGATCTACCTCATTGCTTTTCACGGCTGCGTAGTATTCCATTCTGTGGTGTACTGTAGTTGAAGCAATCCCTTATTGATAGACTCTTAGCAGTACTATTACCAGTATTGCTGTAATGAACAAATTTGCACACACATTTTTACACTTTGTATGTTTGTGAGATAAAAATCTTTAAAAAGAACTGTGCCATATGACTTTTTCAGAAAGGGCATTGTTACAATTCAGAGAAAGTAATCTTCCCTTCACTCACTGGTGTAGGTTGGAACCGCGAGGCCTTTAGTCACGGAATTCTTGTGGGACTCTGTCAGGCACTTGGGGCATGTGCTCAGGGTCTGTGAGCTTTCTAGGAGCCTGCAAAAATGTCTGAGACCTGAAAAAAAAGGTTGTGGCTCTAAAAGAAGAATGTTGTAAAATAAAAATTAATAAATGTAGTTAAATGTCTTTCCAGTCCTGTGAACTAATTGTTAAATTCAATATTTACTTTTAAAAATATTTCTCTCATGATAATTAGTGAAGAGTCACAGACAATCACAAAATAATAAAATAATTTCAAAAGCAAATTCTAAAGACCTTTTCAAAAAAGTTACAGGAAAACAGTTGTCTTAAATATGAAAAGTGGCTGCCCTTTAAGCTGTTTGAAATGCTGTGGGAAGCCTTCATAAGTAAGCATGGCAAACGTTTTAAAATATCCCCGACCAGAGGAGGCCGAGTGGTGGAATGGATGAGCAACACTTGGTGGAATATTCTAGAAGCTGTTAAAATGTGCAGCTCAAAGGTGTTGTGCTAAGTGGAGAAGCCAGACTCAAAAAAACTGATACTGAACGATTCCATTTATGTGACGTTCTGGGAAAGGCAAAAGTGTAGAGCTGGAGAAGAGAGCCGCGGTTGTCAGGCGTTCAGGGGAGGGGGAGGGTTAGTACAAAGGGATAGCGTGGGGGAATTTGGGGGGTGATGGAACTGTTCTGGACCCTAAACGTGGCAATGGTTATATGACTTGGTGCTTTTGTCAATACCGTATACCAAAAAAAGTACATTTTACTGTGTGTAAATTTAAAAGTAAATTTTTTATTTTTAAAGATTTTATTATTTCCTTTTTCTCCCCAAAGCCCCCCGGTACATAGTTGTATATTCTTCGTTGTGGGTTCTTCCAGTTGTGGCACGTGGGACGCTGCCTCAGCGTGGTCTGACGAGCAGTGCCATGTCCGCGCCCAGGATTCGAACCAACAAAACACTGGGCTGCCTGCAGCGGAGCGCGCGAACTTAACCACTCGGCCACGGGGCCAGCCCCTAAAAGTAAATTTTTAAATATAACAACGTGGGGGAGCCCAGCAGAGTCCCATTTGAGCTTCGTTCTCAGTTTAAAGGAGCCTGTCTGGCCGCCACCGACTCTTTGACTGGCGTAGTCAGGGCTGACGGTCTTTGGATACAACATGAGCTGGGACTCTGTGGTCCTCCATCGGCCACTGAACGTCCAGTCAGTGGGGGCACGCCTCCTTCGCTCCCACCTAAGGGGAGGTTCTCCAGGCACGACCCCTCACCTTATTGCTCCACCTCCCCATCCCCATCAGCAAGGAGGAGTGGAGAATAAACTCTGCCTTACAGTGTGTGGCGAGGCCCTCGTGTCTCCCGGAGGCCAGGGGCTCTAAGTTTCTGGGCTTGGACTGACGTCAACAGACACTGTCCACCAGGTTTTAGCCTCTGACCAGGGCCTTGTGCACTGAGAAGGATGCTTATAGTTACCGGTGTGTTAAATAATATCTTAGTTATTAAAGTTGTACATTTAAAAATCTAAATGTGTCTTTAAGATCAATTTACAAATGTTCTAACTACAAATTAGTTGGTCTTGTATATAAATATGAACGCTCTTTCTTCATCTTTGATCAATGCTCAATTAATTCAAAACTTAAGGGTTAAAGCATAAATCTAGTTTCCTTAGACATTTCAAAGCCAACCACATATTTAATGTTTGATTTGCACAAACACTTCTAATAGCTAACATGAAAGACCTAAAATGTGATGAAATCTTCCTAAGCTTTCAAACACTAACATATCGAAGTCTAAACTCATAGATTTAATAAATCAAAATCTTTCAAACATTCATTGTTTACAGACAATTAACTTTTCTCGGACATTTTTAAATTAAAATCACAGATCTAATTTCAACTTCCTTTAAGCATTTCAAATTAAGTTCAAAGTATCAGATCCTCTAATACATTGTTATCTTAAATATTTCAAATATCTTAAATAAAATGTCGCTAATCAGAAACTTATTCTCAGTTTGACACAGATTACTGCTATCATGGGTCCGATCTACTTGCCATAATCTGTGTGTTTTGACACTTACCCTCCCAAGGTGACGTATTCTGACCGATTCGCTCATGGTCAGAGGTTCTGGGCTGGACACAAGACTGGTTGCTTCTGTAGATGGTTCTACCCAACTGCAGGTTAACCGTCCCCTTGTAGTAATGGAATTCTCAAGACCGCCACGTGCCTCGCACCTCACACGGTTCCTTTACATCTTCTACAGCTTTTCGTAGCCTGATTGGCATCAGTTGAGCTTCTGCACCCACTACCCAAATTGTAATCACTTTACTGCCTCATTCGATTCTGCTCTCTTTCCATTTATTTCACTGACCTTCTAAAACGGACTCATCTACCCCATCCTAGTTATACAATCCTTGAAGGAAGCAACTCATTAGCAAGATCTTACTTGTGTTTTGTCCTTACCTTCATGTTGAAGGGAAAACAGTCTTGAAGAAATACAGTGTTTAATGCATATTTTTGCGAGAGAGATCTGTAGTTTTAGGTTAATTTAGTCTATATTACCTTAGAGATGAAGGTCAATGTCAGAGGTGACCATTTGGCTCTATTCCCTTCATTCACTCATCCATCCATTCATTCATTGTGTGCCCGCCATGATGGTGGTACTGTGCTAGGTGCGGGGATACAGGCATAGAAGACACAGTCTGCACCTGGAAGGAGCATGACCAGATCAAGTCTACAACAGGAGCAAACCCACGATTTTATGTTCTCCAATCTTTGATCAAATTATCTGTGCTGTAGCCAAGGCCATGACCACGATAAACTTTGAACCCCAACATAAGGAAGAACTGAACACAGTTCATGCAGACACTCACTGAGAACGAGGAGTTAAGAGAAGCAAGCACTTTCATCTCCTCCATCAGCCTGCTCACTGACTGCTGTTCATGGCACTTAAGCCCCCAGTCGCTCCAGGTGTTTCCATTTCCGTTGGGGAGACTGCATGGTTAGTGAGAGAAATGTGCGCCAGAAAATGGGCTAGGTGAGCCCTGATTCTGAGCAGGAGAGGATCTCTATTGGCTGGATGGGTCTGGAGTTGCAGAGGCCAGGAGAGACCGAGCCTGTGCTGGGCAACCCCAAGTCTGTGACTAATTCGTTGATTCAGTACATACTAGCTGCGTACCCATTTTAGGGAGGCCCTTGGTTTGGGCACTGGGAATACATCTATAATCAAGACAGATCAAAGTCTTTGTCCCAGAAGCTCAAAATCAAGTAGAGGGAGACAGACAGTAAACAAATAAATATATAGACTGTAAGTGGTGATACGTGCTATGAAAAAAATAAAGCAGGGTTGGGGGATGAGTAGTTGGGATGTGGGGGAGCTATTTCAGATTGGTTGTCAAAGAAGTCCTTTCTGATAAGGTGGATAGTGGGTTGAATAGTGACACCCCCAAATTCCTGTCCACACAGAACCTTGGGATGTGAATTTATTTGTCAAGAGGGTCATTGTGAATGTAATTAGTTGAAGATCTCAAAATGAGATTATACTGGATTCAGTGTGGGCCCTAAATCCAAGGCCTGGTGTCCTCATAAGAAGAGGAGAGAACACAAACACAGAGAGAAGAAGACCATGTGAAGATGGAGGCAGAGACTGGAGAGATGCTGCCACAAGCTGAGGAATGCCTGGGGTCACCAGAAGCTGGGAGAGGCAAGGAAGGATTCTTCCGCAGAGACTTAGATGGAGCATGACCCTGTCAACATTTTGATTCTAGCCTCCTGCACTGAGAAAACATTTCTATTGTTTGAAGCCACCCAGATTGTGGTGATTTTTACAGCAGCCCTAGGAAGCTAAGATGGGTACCATCTGAGCAGAACTCCAAATGAAGAAGGGAAGGAGGTAGGCCCAGCCTGGGCAGAGGAAAAGGCAAGTGAGGCGAGAGAGATTGGTGCCAGGTCGCACTGGCCGAGGGCGTGTGTGAGGAGAAGGATGTAGGTGAGAAGATCAGAGAGGTTTCCAGGAACGAGATGGAGGAGGCCAGAATAAGGATGTGGGGTTTTTTCTTAGCAAAATGGGCAGTCACGAGAGCAAAGGGCCACTGGCTAATAAGAAGATCCCTCTGACCACCATGTGGAGAATAGACTGTAGGATGGCAAAGATAGAAATAAGAAAGCAAAGAGGAGACTGCCGCAGCCACGGCTTGGGCCAGGGCGGTAGCAATGGAGGTGCTGGCATGATTGGATTGGGGAAGTATTTTGAAGGTAGAGCTGCACTGACGTGGGCTGTGAGAAAAAGGAGGGGCTCAAGGCTGCTTCCTGAGTTTTGTCTGAGCAAAGAATTGAGTTGGCATCTTCTTAGATGGGCAAGACTTGGAACAGAGCAGGTTTAGGCAAGGGATGTGTGTGGGATGTGAGGGGGGTGATATTTTAAGTTCTATTTTGGACATATTAAGATTGGGATGCCCATTATACCTTGGAGGGGAGGAGTCAAGTAGACAGTTGGATATAAGCACATGGAGCTCAGTGGGGCAGTGGGCCTGGAGATAGACTTTGGGGGGAGCACGGGATGGAGGTGGGGCAGGAATCGGCTTATGGCTATCTAAAGCCTGAGATTAGCAGATCTGTGAGGGAGTGGTGGTTGTCAGATGGCACCTGGAGCCCTGCGAAGTAGAGATGTGGGGGAGGGGGAAAGGACAGCAGAGAAGACAAGGAAGGAAGGACTGATAAAAAAGGAGGGAAACCAGAGGGTGTGGTGCCTGGAAGTCAAGGAAAGAACTTGTCCCAAGAAAAAGTAAGCAACAACTCTGGCTGCTGAAAAATCAAGTAAGATGAGGAGTGAGAATTGACCACTGGATTTGTCAACATGGGGGTGCATGTGAGCTCAAGGAGTGGTGGGGGGAGAAACAGATTGAAATGGATTCAAGTAGGGACGGGAGAAAATGAAGTGAAAATAGTAAGACAGTTCTTTTTGAGAAGCTTTGCTGTAAAAGGCAGCAGAGAAATGGGGCTGTAGGGGAAAGAGGTAGGGCCAAGGGAGGGGATTTGTTAGATGGGAGATATTACAGTTGTTTGTAGACTTATGGAAATGACCCCATACAGAGGAAAACTGACGATGCAGGAGAAAGAGGGCATAATTGCAGGAATGACCTCTGTGATGAGCCAAGGGCTGTGGGACCTGGTACACA